ACTTTAAGATTCTGGCATGCTTAACATTATTTTGATTATGCCACAATACAATTATCACTTCCCTAATTGTCTCATAAAAGCTTAAAGGTCATACTCAGCCCACGGATTATTGTTTAGAGTCATTCTTTAAGTCATCTTATGATTGCAAAATTGCATGAAAGATATTTTGTGTTATTGCACCTTTATGATATGTTTTAATTTCCTAGTTTTTGTTACCCTCAAACTTAAATATAATCAGAGTCTTTTTAACATCTGTGTTTGGCTCCTCGAGAGTTGTTGAGTTCTAAAAGTAACTGGAGTGTCCATTTTTCTTCTCAATTTTAATCTTAATCGTGAGTATACATTTCTCGTAAGTTTTTCAAAAATATAAAACCTTAAAAGAGTTTTTGTTTTAGATTTTTTTTTTCCAGGAAGGTAAGTTTTTATTTTAGATCAATAATTAGGTTTAGCAATAATTAAAATAAGAATTAATTATTTTAAATATAATTTATCTTTGTAATACACAATGAGAATTCTATATTTAATTTATTAATGGCCCACAACTATTTTTTTATATGAATAAAAAGGCACAATGTGAAAACTTTAGGCAATGTTTGGTTAGTTTTTCGAAAACTGTATTTTGTTCTTAAAATTTTAAAAACATCCAAAATTTGTTTGTTTAATATTTTTGTTCTCAAAATTTTGAGAAAAAATGAGATTTGAGTCAAAGAAACAGAAAATAAGTTTAGTTTGTTTTTAGAGTATTTTTTGAAAATTTTGAAAATAAGGAAAATAATTTTGAACTTTAATGAGGTTTGTCATTTGAGTCTCCTTAACAACAAATTTTTTCATTCTTTTTTTTTTTTACTTCCTCTCTCTCATAATATATATATATATATATTGTCAATATAAAAATAAATTTTTAAATTTTTTTTATTAATATTTGAATTATTGGTCAAATATATATTTAGATTGTCCAAACAGGTTTTATTATTTTATTTATTGTAAAATTATTTTTGAAATCATATAACTAAACAAAGTTTTTTATCTCAAAAAATATTGTATTCAGATACTAGTTTTTGAAACACAAACCAAACAGATCCTTAATTTTTTAGAGTTACTACAAATTTGAACATCTTTCGGCCCAAGGTTGTTATTATCAATTTTGTTCTTCAAAGCATAATACCCCAACTAATATCAAATTTNGTTAGTTCATATTTAAACAACTTTCTTGTTCAATTACTACAAAGTTTCTATTTTGATGTACCTAGCTTGATCATCTGTAGATGGTTAGTCTTCAGTTGTCATCTGTTTTGGTGGAGATTTGCTTGTCTGGACTATCTTTTTCATTTTTGAGAGTTACATGTTTGGAATTGCTATTCCAGTGCCACCGCTTTATAGGATGACAGTGTTTGATTTGACCTTAGTTTTATCATAATTTTTGAACTGCTTCTTCTTTATTTTGGAGCTTAACATACTTATTCTGTTGGACTATCTATTGGGTAGGATGANCTCAGCCCACGGATTATTGTTTAGAGTCATTCTTTAAGTCATCTTATGATTGCAAAATTGAATGAAAGATATTTTGTGTTATTGCACCTTTATGATATGTTTTAATTTTCTAGTTTTTGTTACCCTCAAACTTAAATATAATCAGAGTCTTTTTAACATCTGTGTTTGGCTCCTCGAGAGTTGTTGAGTTCTAAAAGTAACTGGAGTGTCCATTTTTCTTCTCAATTTTAATCTTAATCGTGAGTATACATTTCTCGTAAGTTTTTCAAAAATATAAAACCTTAAAAGAGTTTTTGTTTTAGATTTTTTTTTTCCAGGAAGGTAAGTTTTTATTTTAGATCAATAATTAGGTTTAGCAATAATTAAAATAAGAATTAATTATTTTAAATATAATTTATCTTTGTAATACACAATGAGAATTCTATATTTAATTTATTAATGGCCCACAACTATTTTTTTATATGCATAAAAAGGCACAATGTGAAAACTTTAGGCAATGTTTGGTTAGTTTTTCGAAAACTGTTTTTTGTTCTTAAAATTTTAAAAACATCCAAAATTTGTTTGTTTAATATTTTTGTTCTCAAAATTTTAAGAAAAAATGAGATTTGAGTCAAAGAAACAAAAAATAAGTTTAGTTTGTTTTTAGAGTATTTTTTGAAAAANTTTTTGAGAGTTACATGTTTGGAATTGCTATTCCAGTGCCACCGCTTTATAGGATGACAGTGTTTGATTTGACCTTAGTTTTATCATAATTTTTGAACTGCTTCTTCTTTATTTTGGAGCTTAACATACTTATTCTGTTGGACTATCTATTGGGTAGGATGACAATGTCCAATGAAATGGATCTCCTTGTTTAGCAAGTTAAGATGCTTAAAAATCATTTCTCCAACAGAATCACAGAATGCTACAAGCCAAATTAAATTAGAAGAAATGTTTTGGACACTTCATTAATTATTATTCTGATATTTCAGGTTCCGGCAGATTCTGAAACCATATGTCTATCCTTTTGAAACTAAATTCAACATGGTAAGAGGAATTATAGGTCTTTGACAGAAGAATGTGCCGGTACTTGGGTTTTTGAGATCTCAGGATCATTTTCTGACTGCTCCACTAAATGGTTACAAGGAAACTCGAAACTTATTCATCAGACAAATGTTATCCGCCCTTGTATTTAGCATTTTGACTTCTTGCTTTGTGTGACATTCGATGACTTGTTGAAGATGTGCATTACATGTGTTGTAGAAATGTAGAACCCATTACATCCCTTGACTTTACACCTTTTGTATACTGAAGTGGGAGATTCTTCATTTTTCTTTACATGAAAGTGACACTTCTTTCCTCATCTTTTATCAGGTTCTTCATCAAGATCTATTGACAGTGTTAAATAGTTAAGTGCGGAAATGCAGTCTCATGTCAATCTAATGTTTTCCAGCTTTTGACATCTAAGTTATCTTTGGAGTCTGGTTAACTCCAGCTCCATTTTATTAAAAATAGTCGCAGATATGTGCCTTCCTAAATGTCCGTCCTGTGAAGAGAGCTTGTAGCCTACATTGAGATTGGTTCCATTCAAGGGTGGTTTTTTTTTTTTTTTTTGGTATGGAGATTGGTTTTGGGTCGAGTGCCTCTAACATGGTATCAAAGTTGTGCCTTGGTCGATTTTGGGGCAACTCCAAAGGTCTAACATGAAGGATTATAGAAGAAAGAGCTGCAAGAGAAAATCAGTTTCCTGCATCGGCAGCTGGCTTCGGTCGTTGGCCATCGCTTTCGACTGAATAGTATGTTTCTGAAGAATCTATTCAGGTGATAATTAGAACTTTAAGATTCTGGCATGCTTAACATTATTTTGATTATGCCACAATACAATTATCACTTCCCTAATTGTCTCATAAAAGCTTAAAGGTCATACTCAGCCCACGGATTATTGTTTAGAGTCATTCTTTAAGTCATCTTATGATTGCAAAATTGCATGAAAGATATTTTGTGTTATTGCACCTTTATGATATGTTTTAATTTCCTAGTTTTTGTTACCCTCAAACTTAAATATAATCAGAGTCTTTTTAACATCTGTGTTTGGCTCCTCGAGAGTTGTTGAGTTCTAAAAGTAACTGGAGTGTCCATTTTTCTTCTCAATTTTAATCTTAATCGTGAGTATACATTTCTCGTAAGTTTTTCAAAAATATAAAACCTTAAAAGAGTTTTTGTTTTAGATTTTTTTTTTCCAGGAAGGTAAGTTTTTATTTTAGATCAATAATTAGGTTTAGCAATAATTAAAATAAGAATTAATTATTTTAAATATAATTTATCTTTGTAATACACAATGAGAATTCTATATTTAATTTATTAATGGCCCACAACTATTTTTTTATATGAATAAAAAGGCACAATGTGAAAACTTTAGGCAATGTTTGGTTAGTTTTTCGAAAACTGTATTTTGTTCTTAAAATTTTAAAAACATCCAAAATTTGTTTGTTTAATATTTTTGTTCTCAAAATTTTGAGAAAAAATGAGATTTGAGTCAAAGAAACAGAAAATAAGTTTAGTTTGTTTTTAGAGTATTTTTTGAAAATTTTGAAAATAAGGAAAATAATTTTGAACTTTAATGAGGTTTGTCATTTGAGTCTCCTTAACAACAAATTTTTTCATTCTTTTTTTTTTTTACTTCCTCTCTCTCATAATATATATATATATATATTGTCAATATAAAAATAAATTTTTAAATTTTTTTTATTAATATTTGAATTATTGGTCAAATATATATTTAGATTGTCCAAACAGGTTTTATTATTTTATTTATTGTAAAATTATTTTTGAAATCATATAACTAAACAAAGTTTTTTATCTCAAAAAATATTGTATTCAGATACTAGTTTTTGAAACACAAACCAAACAGATCCTTAATTTTTTAGAGTTACTACAAATTTGAACATCTTTCGGCCCAAGGTTGTTATTATCAATTTTGTTCTTCAAAGCATAATACCCCAACTAATATCAAATTTGGTTATTATTCAGGACGATGTCAAATTTGGTTTTACACCTAGTCGTGAATTTTTTTCATTATGTTTTTATTAGCAATGCACAACACACGTTAATATATTTAAATAATAATTTTTTTAAAAAAAATTTGAAGATAAGTAGTGAATAAAAATTAACAAAATTTTAAAAAATATAACAGAAAAATTATTAGACCAAACAGAAGACGATTGATTTTGAATCATACTGTTACCAAATAAAATAATTTAGTGGGAAATAAGCATTTTTTAAAATTTTTAGGGTTTAAATTACAATTTTAAAAATCTATTGTGATTCAAAGTGTCATTCAGACGGAAAGTTAATTACTTACTTTGTACTGCATAGGCCCACTGTCACTCTTATGTCACTAAAATTTCCAATGGGCCTTATCTAAGAGAAAAATACTACTGGGTCCATATTTTTGGCCCAATTAAACAACAATATAACCGTCATTTGGGCCCTATTTATATAGCAAAGGCGCCACCACCATTTTCTAATTTCTATAGATGAGAGAGCGTAGGGGTGAGAACAAATCTAGAATTTGGGTGAGAACTTTGTGGTCTCTCTGTTCACCGGTCTGTCTGTTAACGGTAGAACATTATGACTACATTCTTCGCCATGGCACCACCAACACTAACTCTCAGATTCTTCCCTCCTCTCTCTTACCCGGTACTTTCTCCTTTTCTATATAGTTATGATATAAATATGTATTTGGGTATACACCTTCTTTGTTGTTCTTTAGGATATTTTCTCTCTCCGTATAATGTTATGATGTCTCTATATATTTGGGTACATACTTTCTTGGTTGATCTTTAATATGTTTTCTCTCTTTTCATCGTCCCTATCCCCATCCCCTGCTGTCAGATGCTTCCCACTCTTACCCAGTATTCTTTTCTCTCAGTGTGTAATGGTATAATGTGCTTGTGTGTGTGTGTGTGCGCGCGCGCGCTTATGCTATTTGTTGATATTTAATATATTTTCTTTGGTTATATGCGTTCTTTGTTGATCTTTAATATATTTTCTTTGGGTTTATGTGTTTCCTACTGTTCTTGAGGAAGGAAGGATTTCGGGGTGTTTGAGTGAAATAAACATGAGTACCATCAAAATTGTTTATTTTTCTGTATTGCAGTTTTCATTGCTCTGCAGGTGGAACACCGGGCATCTTGGGATTGGGAAAATCCACCAGTTTACTTCGATAAATATGATGGAATGGAAGAAGAGGTATTGATTTCTTTCTTTGGTCTTGAAATACATTGTTCACGGGAAGTTAAAAATAGCGCTAGTTGAGTTAGACCATGGAAACATGTATTTTTTTTTTCTGTTTTTCTGTGGAACACAGATCATGGTGTTTGATTGAAGTCAAGTTCTCTCTCCCTCTTTTCCTCTTTCTTTCTAAAGTCAAATGAATTTCTGTAGAAACCTGGTAGGATTACAATTGTGGCTGGGTTGGGAAGAGAAGAACTAGCAAGACAACCTTGCTACAGCCCGCTATGCATTTATGGTGCTTGTAGTAGACTTAGTTCATACAGTTTTTACTAACAGAACATCTTCAAACTATTTTGGCCAATGTTTCTAAATATTTTGCGAATGTCTTTACCAATCTCTTACTTTTGATACTCAAGATTGCACTTAAATGTGGTCGCCCCGTACAACGCCAAGTATGTGTAAGAGAAGTTTTATATTCTCTTTCATCTCTCATATTTCTTAAATTAGATTTGTGCAAGATAGAAGGTTTATACCCTTACTTGGTCCCATTAATGCAATACCTATTTGCTGGAAATCTTGCCACCACTCTCTCACTTGTGTTTCCACACATAACATGATCCGACATACTGGGGCTCCTAAAAGAATGAGTTATAAACAAAATCCAACTGCTGGCAATCAGTAATGAGAAGTACCCTTTAGGACTAATGTTTCACAAATTAATGGCTCGACAAAGTGAAACTAAAAGAGTGGCATAGAGATTCCAAATCAACTATTCATCTTGCGTTGACATCAATCCCACCAAATTTTTGCATCTCTTGCATCTTTCTCCTTTGTGTCTACTGTCTAGTGAGCCTTGATGCCGATGACTTAATAGAAGTTTAACTACAACTTGCGTTTTCTTTTTTATTTACCATCACTTCGCACTTTAATGAAAACATTTAGTAGATTAGGGTGCTCCATTTGTCTATGACTATTGTTTTTGTTCTTAAATCTTAACTACTGCACCTTGACAGTAGTTATACATTTTTTATCTAATGTGATTTTTGTTTTGTAAATTAATACAGTAAGAGGAAAGTAGGAAGCCAATTCCAGAATTCAGACTGATACAACCTCAGGGACAAAGGTTGTCAAACTGATACTGGGGGGGGGGTAAAAGTTGTATTATCATGAGCATCAGAAGAAAAAACTAAAAATGCAACAAAATAAGGTATAGGGAGGGTGTTGGGAGGGAGATATGAGTTGTTGAGATAGATATGAATTGAAGAAGATGAACAGGTTTAGTGAGCGCATGCTTTTGATAATGTACACCATTAAGGTTTAATCGTTAAAAGGTAGTGCAAAGCATAACAATGTGGATAAGTGTGGGCCATCAGACTGTTATTGGTTAATGTGGCTTCGTGTGAGTCCTTGTCTAGAGGAAAATTGAGAGATGAGGTCTGAAGGGGAGTAGAACCCTGCTTTCTTTGATTGGCTTTTCTCGAAATAGAATTAAGGTTTGTTTTTATAATTTCCAGCATGAAGAACAAAAATTTCCTCTTTGCATAGTCATAAAGAGAGAATGGGGATGATGTTGACAAGATTTGGAAAGCATCAAAGTGGTTTTATAACCCTTTTTATGAACTCGGCTTATTTTATGAAGAGTAATAAGTCAAAATGATTTTCCTAATTTTTAAATTCTATTTTTTTTTCTTAAAGAGGGGGCTAGATGATGAAATGACTTGTTTTGATATAATAAACAGGAGGACTTTGATCTGTGCAGTCAATGAAGATGCTGAGAAATCATTTAAAAAGACTGTGGAAGTGGATATGCTAATAGATATGCTGAGGGATGCAAATGATAAGGAGGTATCAGTGCTTTGCCGTTTGTTTTAAAGCAGCTTTTTTCTCCCAACCTAAGTTTTTTTCCCCCCATACTTTCCCTGTATTTGAATTGCGACAATTTCTATTTTATGTGGATGTGATTAGGTACTAAGCAAACTTGCTTCACTCCTTTATGTGTCCTAATACTGCTGCAAGTGCTCTTCCTACAGTAAATACAAAAAATTTCTGCGGTAGACTTTTGGAGCATTTTTTTTTTCCTACTGTTGTATTTTGGGCAGGCGATACTGGGTTGTGGAGATGTGCAGGAAATATGACTTGGTTATTGTTCTATCTTTCAGAGTGCTCAAAGGATCTTTCTGTATGATCTGTCCATTATTGACGTAATTTACCATGCGATGTGTCAAATAATAAATTTATTGCCACATATCGGTTTGATGCTAGTTTATCCCATTTTTTAATAAGCAACTCAACTGTACCCGCAAATGATCATTGGTAATCAGGGAATAAGGTTCTTACTAAGAAGATGTGGTACAATTATTTGAAGTGCATGATGTCTGTTTTATCTTAAGATTTTTCAGTTCAAAAAAAAAAAAAAATCTTAAGATTTTCATTTAGTTTAATTTTAACAAGGTCATTCTTATTTTTTTAGCAGCTTCAGCAGCTTGTTGTAGAAAATGTACTTGCTTTCAATGAGAGCTTCTGGATACGACTTGCAGCTAGAACGGACACTTCCAAATCAGAGGATGACAAAGCATGATTTATACCTTGGATCGAATTTGTTTATTTCTCTTAGCTCAGCCCGTTCTTATGTAATAGAAATTTGACCTCCTATTTTTTTTTTGCAGAAAGACTATGAAGAATTGGCTTTATCTGTAATGAGCATAGTGGATCTCCTTGTCCATAAGACTAATGTAATTTTCGTTTCTCTAATTGTGCTCAAACACAGCCTGCACTCTATCATACAAAAACTATTTCAGAGTATTGCTTAGAGTTGCCTGGATATTTCTATTTCATGTATTTTTGTCGTAGTTCTTTCTCATTGCTGCAGGAAAAAATAAATTCAGCTACCGATGTTCTCAAGGAAATTTTAAAACCTGTAGTTGATGAAGAGGAAGAGATTTCTTGGCCTCCTAGAGATCCCAAGGCTCTCATTTTCATGGAGAAAGTAAGTTTTCATTTTCTAATTGGTTGATTTTTTTTTTCTTGTTAGCATTTTGTGCTGAGAATTTCAGGGAAGCAATAAATATTTGTATTTCCGATGAACCTTTTGTTTTTTTTTTGTCCCTTTTCTTCTAGTTATGTACACCGAAGATCAGTCCATTGTCAACTACTGCCCAGAGTCCTTCATTTATGGATGTTGTGCTGCATTATGACTCTATCTCAACCCTGATGGGACCATCTTGCACCCTTAAAAGAAAAACAGAAGACAATTTACTCATGCATGTCTCTAAAACTATTAACGCCTGTCAGATTTCTTTTCTTTCTTCCTTTTATTACTTCGGTGATTTGACCATCTCAATTTATGCAATTTTTTCTTCTAATTGTCAGGAAATCAAACAAAGGCAGCAAGAAGGGCAACTGGATGAGGGGTTCCTTTCAGAAGTTAATGCACAACTACGGCAAGTGAGTCTGTTGAATGGTATTATTTATACTTGCCTCCTTTTACTTATACTGGTTGCATGAGGCTATTATGGCTACGTCTTGTTGGATCCTGCAATTCTCTCCTTATTTGTAGTTGTTTTTGCATAAAGAATATTTAATGAGTCTGGATGGAAATTTGGAAATCTGAGGTGCTGTGCCCTCATTAAATAATATAGGTGCATCCTATCGTGGCTGAAATTTGAATGTTCAGATTAATGTGTGGCAAAATAAGGGCACAATTAGGAATTATTTTATTTGTGAAATACTAACAATAGCGCTTATAGCAGACAAATTGGGGGAGAGTTAATCATTATAGTTTGGTTATCTTAGGAAGGATGTTGAGTTGAGTATACTTTTGACAGTTTGGGTGTTTGAGGGGAGGGAGCAATAATAATAGATATGCAACATGTAAATCATCTTTTTACTCACTTCATTCTTATATATGCAGGCAAAAGAAGATGGGGACAAGCCAGGACTTGAGGCTATGTTGCAGAAAGTTCTGCAACTCTATGCTTCCACAGTCCTGTCTAAACGCAGTTATGCCAGAAAAGGTGTTCTTCTCTTTTCTTTCCTTTTTTTGTGTTGTTGTGTATAACATCAACACGTTTCTCAAATATGACAGTCTCCTGGATTTACTCTTTGTTAGTTATAAGATGGAACACTTATCAGCAATATGTGAAAGCACACTCCTATATGAGGCCATGCTAATGTAATTACACTTTCAAGTTTGGTCTAGCAAATATTCTGTTTTTGTATCAGACAAAAGTTAATTTCTAACTGACTGAATCTTGGGCATTGTTCGGTAAGATGGAATTTCATGGCGGTTAAAAATTTCAGAATTGAATTCTTGTGCTATTGTTTGCATTATAGATTTAGATTGAACATGTGCAGTGTTGTCCAGAACATGCAATATATATTAAGTTGTAACCTGGTTGTGATTACATTCCACAACTAACATCAGATAAACCTTTCATGTTGGGTTTCCTCATTGTATGATAGTTCCTATAACAATGTGTTTGGGTAGAAATTGATCATGTGATTGGCTATATTCTCCTGGTGGTGTATTGGTTATTGGAACAAGATGAGAGGAATGGTACAAACCTTAATATATCATAATTAGGTGGAACTGTGGAAGTGGATGTATTTAGGCAAGGGTATTTTTTGGTGCAAACCATGAAACATGGGAATTTAAAAAAAGAGACATAATTTCTTATTTTAGGGCCTTGAATGGTATGTAACATCATAGAAATATAGATCATACATATTATATTTCCATTACTTTATGTAATTGATAAGTCAATGCTAGGAAGCAACTGATTTAGCACAACCACATTAATTGTCCGAAATAAAAAAAGAAAAAGAGCTAGTACTAGCATGATGATGAGATAGGATGTGGCTGTTGTTCATACAATGTTGGAGATAAGGCATGTCTTTTAGTTCTAGATACAACGAGTTCTCTTTGAACTAGGAGGCGGGAAAGAAGGAGCATCTAATTGATGGTTGATTTAAAATGTACATCAAGGGGCCAGTGAGAATTTTTTTCAATGGACTTTCTAACTAATATATCGTCAACATTGGTTACTTTTCTTATTTTGATGCTAGTAGTTGACAAAAAAGTCTGGCAGATGTTAGGCTCTGCCCGTTACTTCATTGATGGATTTTTGTAGTTGACTTCATCAGCTATTCGGATATATTAATTGACCCTTTTTCGCCATAATCTGGTATTCTGTTGCCTGAGACATAATAGGCATATTCTTGCTACTCTTAAGATTACAACTGCATTATATTGCAAGTAACACGTGCTTTTGTTCCTGCTTTAGGAAATGAAGTTTTGAAAGCTGAGCAGTTCCTTGAGACCATAATTGACGGTAAATGCAGTCTGCTAACCTCCTGTCATGTGAACAGTGCAATTCATACCAATCATGAATATATACTAATTGTCACATGCACATGTATGTTTTTCCTACTTAAAAATATGGTTTTCTGTATGACACTTTGTTACTATATAGAGAAGATGCCCTTTTAGCTTGATGAAATGAAAAGTCAGACGACCATATGTAAGGACACAGGCAAAGTTGTCAGTGTCTAGCAAAGATACAGGGTTTGTGATTTAGTCTTGGATTTGAATTTGTTTGGGAAGTTGTAAGCCATGTGGCAATCTGTTAATTTAGTGGACAAAGGGGTCGGAAGTGTCAATAAGGTGAGTGATCACCTTGAATTTGATGTGAAAGTTAGATTAAGGCAGTTTGATTCCATATGTTCATGGTTGTCTAAATGGCCAACCTAGATGTTCCCTTTCCAGGATAGTTATTTACGTGAACCTGGTGTTTATTCTTGTACCTTTTCTTTAGTATCTTAGAGTTGTGCTTGAGAATTGTGTCAGATTTTTGTTTATGCTGAAGAAGTTATAATTATCAGTGGCCTGGCTAACTCATTTGCAGTAACTGGACAGGATAGGTGGGGTTTTTTTTCCAATTCTTTTTTTTTTTTGGGGGGGTGGGAGGTGGGGTTTATCCTTGGCACTCAAATAGTGAATCCTTGGCACTCAAATAGTGAACAAGGAAACATGCTTGAGAAATGATCAAGTAAATAACACAGGTAAAGAATCATGGAAGTTTTTCTGGAATGAAAAAAAAAAAAAACAAATTAGCTGTTTCCCAAATTTGAGTAACTTGGTTTAGCTATTTAGAGCACATGAAAAAAAGAATGGATGACGGACTGTGCATTACATCTGTGTATTACTAAAACAATTTTAGTATCATGTAGAGGTTGCCTGATCTCCTTGAGACTTGCTTCATAGTTGCTTAGAACTGTTGTGTTGTTTTCTTAGTTCATGTTGACGAGCCGGATCATCATGGACGACTGTTTGACATCCTTATGTGCTTACTATGCAGTAATTAGAAGTGTTCCTTTCCATTTTAATGTGCATCTTGGGCAGTTCTCGCAAAGCATAAACAGANTTGACGAGCCGGATCATCATGGACGACTGTTTGACATCCTTATGTGCTTACTATGCAATAATTAGAAGTGTTCCGTTCCATTTTAATGTGCATCTTGGGCAGTTCTCGCAAAGCATAAACAGACTTACTCTTCTTGGATACAGCTCCAGAAAATGAATGGAATGAGCTGTTGATCAATGGTATGAATGTTGGTAAGGGGGAGATCTCACTCGAGGAGCTCAATTCTGTCATCAAGAAACGCATCGAACGGACTTTGATTCGAACTGTAGGCACCCGTTTCTGCATTATAGGTTCACATACTTCATTTCTTTGATGCTATGCCCTTTTGCTTCTTCTCTCCTCCATGATCTCTCTGTCTCACACTCTTACTCAGGAAGGAGGTTCTTACCAACAACGTGTTCTTACTGAGTATCTGAAAGGTATTCAATCAAGAGCAGGGGAGATTGTTCAGGTTCTTCTGGGCAAGATTCAACAGTAACTGTGAAGGACAGCTGGACTTGGTCTCATTAGGTATATTTGGTACTCAGAATATGGAAATACCAAAATAGGTTTCTGCGTAATATGATAACTTAAAAAGTACAACCAGGAGAAGAAGTTTTGAATTTTATTTTCTTCTTAGCAAGCTAACTTATGTCAACCAGTCAGTGAACCTCATTATAGCCCATGAATATATTATAAATTATTGTTTCTATGTAGCATCATTCAATCTTTCTTTTTTGGTTTGTCTGTGGTTTTGGTACATACGTTCTTGTTTAAAGTAAATCCATCCACATAGATGTGTGAGTAATAACTCTGGTTCTCGGTTTCTGAAAAGTTTGTAAGATTCTGTTGCAACCTCAATTATCTAAAAGGAAACTGTGCTGTGCATTTGATATGTGTACCATATAGGTTGGGATCGATCTATTGATGTGGTTTTATATGTTAAACATGCAACATATGTGGTGAACGAGTTGGTCGGAGTGTCTAACCAAATTAAATCTCAGCCTGCTAATAAATATCTGCCATAGGAAGAGGTGTGTTTATGATCCTTGTTCCGGTATATACAATACGGTAAGAGATTGTAATTTTCAAAAAAAGTATTTGACATTTGTCTTGTATCCTTAGCTTTGCATTCTACCAGCAAAAATATGATGATTGGTGTAAAGCAGGTATTATTTGTAATATGTAATCTCTGTAATTTGTGTTCATTTCATTCTCTTGCTCTTTTGGCAGTCCTGAACCTATGCGCTTCTAGTGCTATTAATTTTCTTTGGATTGGAGTAAAAATTTCACTTAATGATTTCTTATTTTATGTCCACCAAGGTACTTAAAAATAGTGCAAAATAAGTGTAAATCTGTACTGTTGGCATCCATGTCTTACTTACTCTTACCTTTGCATATTTATGCTTATTATTGACGCATATCTGGACTGTTTGCCATGAGTAGTGAATGCTTTAGGAGCATCTTGTAGAAGTCAAGCACATGGCTATATTGGCTCTCCTTTTTATCATTGGAACATTTCAGTCGGAACTGAATGGTGTTAAGATGTCAGGACTTGTGGAATAGAAAGAGTCAATCTCTTTTCTGACCTAATCCCTATCTTTTTCAGGGACTGCTGCTTTTCTTCATTTATTTGTTTAGTTGTTTATTTATTTACTATTGTTTCAATTAAGTTGGGGTTTGTGTTTTTGGGTAAGTTTTGAAGACCTTGCTGTACGTTGCTGTAACTGAAGTTACCAAGCCTATCAAATTAGTAATTCTTCTATTTATGCACCTCATATATCTGACTCTTCTATTTTTTTCTCAAATGGTCTTTACAAGAATGAGTTTTTCTCAACTAGGGCAGAGAGGTATGGGCTCAATGCCTTAATCTCCTTTGTAAACATGTCAGTGAATATTTTCTTCCCTGTTTGCTTGTTGCTTCATGATTTTCATCTCCCATTGTTGAAGTCTTCTGATATATGAACTTCTGTTCACTATATGTTAGGTGTGTTCTAGAACATGTCCACAGCTGAGAACTTCTGAAATGCTGCCATTATATTTTAGATTGCTCTGTGGATCACATACAGGTTTAAGTTAATTTGATTTGAAAATTACTTATCGTGAAGTATGAATTTTTTCTCAGGTTGCACTTGGTAAATATCAGACCTAATAGTTGCATACGGATCTCATGTGTAAAATGCCTGAAGTATCTATTGAGTTGTTCTTTGCCTTTTGATATTTCAAACTTCCATTACTCTTCGGTTCAGTTGATTCCTAGACTCCAGGTGAGCTCTAACTTAAATTCAACTTGTGTTTTTATTTTTTGTGTATACCACATAATTTATCTCCATCTCTTATTTGAAATAATCATGATTTTAAAAATTGCATAGCACACATTTTTCCTATGTTAAGAAATGAATACACTGGTTCAGTAAAAGTTAGTTTATTATAACCTTCTGCAGTTCAACCAATGACAGATTTCTTAAAAGTTTTAAAACCAGTTACATATTCATCTTTGTGAATATGCTTGTACTGTTGATCTTTGTAGCAAGCAGTTAGGCAATGTGGCCCAGTGGTCAGAAGCTACTGTCTGAAAAAAAGAAGAGCCTACACTAACAGAAGTGCACAAGTAACAAAATTTCTGTAACTTGGTGATAAAAACAACAATTCTGTAACTAACTGTTTTTGGTAAATAAACAGTTACTTTGCGGGAAAAAAAAAACAATTACTGTTTTTGCTACAAAGTTCAACCCTATAGCGAAAGAAACCACCATTTTGTAACCAATTGTATTTGGTAAGTGAAGTTTGTTATAATAGTGCAAGAACCACATACAAACTACTGGGGGATACCCTAAGACAGACTATCTTGTAGTTTATGACATTGTATGCTTGACATATTTGTTTGGATATTGTGGATGTAGGATAAAGGCAGATACTCCCTCATTCATCATCTTCAAAATCCTTGCCACTGGAGCAGAAGTCGCCGATGCCTTGCTACTTTGCACTGATCTCCTCTTTCTACTACTTGGAATGGTGTTTAGTTTTACAATTGCTGTCTTGGTACTTGACAAGGTCAGAAGTGATGTCTTCAATGCTCAGCGTAGTTCTTGACTTGAAATGTAAGTTATTGTATTCATCAAGAAGCAAGATTCATGTAACCGATCCAAATAATTCCGATAAAGGATATGTTGAGTTGAGATGTATCAGGAAGCATAGAGTAAGAAGCCAATATAGTCTATACAAGTTTAAGTGGATGTTGTTGATGAAGAATGCAAGGGCTTTTTTCTTTGGTGATTTTTCACATGGTTCCTGAAAGTCCTATTCATTAATCAATAGTCTGACCTTGATATCAGGGCCGGCCCAACCGAAGCATAGACTCTATGTCCCAAATTTTTAGAAGGCCTATAATTTTAGGTACATCACTAGTTGACAAAAAAAATTAAATTTATTAAATTTTAAGTCCTACAAAAAAACTTTAAAAAATTAAATTCAATCAAAATTTTTATTGCAATAATTTAGGTCTATAATTCAATTCATAAAATTAAAAACTTAGAAATTAAAAAAATACTTAAAAGTCAGTTCATATTTATTCTCACTCATTTTTTTTATCTCTCTCCGATAAAAATAAAAAATAAAAGTTAAAATATCTTTTTCGACAATATTAACACATTTTTCTTGTGTCTTCTTTTCAGATAGAAAATTAAAAATAAATTAAATTTTTTTAAACAATAATACTAAAAAATACAAAGGCCTCCATTTAATATTTTTACTTTAGGCCTCAAATTAGCTTGAGCCGTCCCTCTTGATACACTTGACTATGGTATCGAAAGTGGTAAATGATGGTATGGTATCAACTTCTTATTTTTTTGGGTACTGTAGATTTGTTGCATCCAATCCAACGAAAAATCGACAGGAAAAGGAAGATGGAGAGGGAAAAGGGAGAACCTTTAGGGAAAGAACTTGGGGCAAAGAAAGGAAGCAAAAGTAAGTGCGATGAGTAAGAACTTCAAAGGTTAAATATCATACATAGTTCTTGGACTTCGTCTTCTGTTTTAAAATGGTCATTGAATTTTTAATCTTGTATTAATTAGGTCTTCATGTTAATTGTAGTTGTTAGACCAAATAGAGGTATGTCATGTATTTGTCACGTGGCCTTCCAAGTTAAAAATTAATAATTGACAGAATGACTTATTTGATAGAAAATTAATAATTAAGAGATTATAAGATTGTTTGATAACATCGCTCAAGGTTTAAAATTGAATATTTTAAACACTTAATAAATTAAACTCATTTGATAATTTAAAACTTATATTACTTAATATTTTAAGTACTTTTTAAAAATAAACTAAAATTTTAAATAACAAATCACTTACTTTCTACTTGACGTTAAAAATGTTAGTAAAGATTTTATCAATTTCTCATAATGAATAAATATATCTTCACTGCTATTGTGTTATCGCCACCCCACCACCACTGTTATCATAACCAGCATTATGTCACCGTCACCACCACCGTCACCACTACCATCGTTGTCACGAGCACTACTATTGTGCCACCATCACCACTACCACCACAAATTGATACCACCATTGTGTTGTCGTCGCCAATACTGTCATTGTTACCACCACTATCATTGCTGCCGTCGCCTATCATTGTGTCATTACCACCACCAGCACCGTCACCACCACTAACATTATGTTATAGCTATCGCTACCATTGTGCCACTGCTATCACCACAACCACCACCATCACCATTGTCACAGTCGCCACCACCACCACCACCACCGTTGTTGTCACCACTATTTGTGATGATGGTGATAAGAATAAGACAGTTGAAGAGAGATGNTAACTTATGTCAACCAGTCAGTGAACCTCATTATAGCCCATGAATATATTATAAATTATTGTTTCTATGTAGCATCATTCAATCTTTCTTTTTTGGTTTGTCTGTGGTTTTGGTACATACGTTCTTGTTTAAAGTAAATCCATCCACATAGATGTGTGAGTAATAACTCTGGTTCTCGGTTTCTGAAAAGTTTGTAAGATTCTGTTGCAACCTCAATTATCTAAAAGGAAACTGTGCTGTGCATTTGATATGTGTACCATATAGGTTGGGATCGATCTATTGATGTGGTTTTATATGTTAAACATGCAACATATGTGGTGAACGAGTTGGTCGGAGTGTCTAACCAAATTAAATCTCAGCCTGCTAATAAATATCTGCCATAGGAAGAGGTGTGTTTATGATCCTTGTTCCGGTATATACAATACGGTAAGAGATTGTAATTTTCAAAAAAAGTATTTGACATTTGTCTTGTATCCTTAGCTTTGCATTCTACCAGCAAAAATATGATGATTGGTGTAAAGCAGGTATTATTTGTAATATGTAATCTCTGTAATTTGTGTTCATTTCATTCTCTTGCTCTTTTGGCAGTCCTGAACCTATGCGCTTCTAGTGCTATTAATTTTCTTTGGATTGGAGTAAAAATTTCACTTAATGATTTCTTATTTTATGTCCACCAAGGTACTTAAAAATAGTGCAAAATAAGTGTAAATCTGTACTGTTGGCATCCATGTCTTACTTACTCTTACCTTTGCATATTTATGCTTATTATTGACGCATATCTGGACTGTTTGCCATGAGTAGTGAATGCTTTAGGAGCATCTTGTAGAAGTCAAGCACATGGCTATATTGGCTCTCCTTTTTATCATTGGAACATTTCAGTCGGAACTGAATGGTGTTAAGATGTCAGGACTTGTGGAATAGAAAGAGTCAATCTCTTTTCTGACCTAATCCCTATCTTTTTCAGGGACTGCTGCTTTTCTTCATTTATTTGTTTAGTTGTTTATTTATTTACTATTGTTTCAATTAAGTGGGGGTTTGTGTTTTTGGGTAAGTTTTGAAGACCTTGCTGTACGTTGCTGTAACTGAAGTTACCAAGCCTATCAAATTAGTAATTCTTCTATTTATGCACCTCATATATCTGACTCTTCTATTTTTTTCTCAAATGGTCTTTACAAGAATGAGTTTTTCTCAACTAGGGCAGAGAGGTATGGGCTCAATGCCTTAATCTCCTTTGTAAACATGTCAGTGAATATTTTCTTCCCTGTTTGCTTGTTGCTTCGTGATTTTCATCTCCCATTGTTGAAGTCTTCTGATATATGAACTTCTGTTCACTATATGTTAGGTGTGTTCTAGAACATGTCCACAGCTGAGAACTTCTGAAATGCTGCCATTATATTTTAGATTGCTCTGTGGATCACATACAGGTTTAAGTTAATTTGATTTGAAAATTACTTATCGTGAAGTATGAATTTTTTCTCAGGTTGCACTTGGTAAATATCAGACCTAATAGTTGCATACGGATCTCATGTGTAAAATGCCTGAAGTATCTATTGAGTTGTTCTTTGCCTTTTGATATTTCAAACTTCCATTACTCTTCGGTTCAGTTGATTCCTAGACTCCAGGTGAGCTCTAACTTAAATTCAACTTGTGTTTTTATTTTTTGTGTATACCACATAATTTATCTCCATCTCTTATTTGAAATAATCATGATTTTAAAAATTGCATAGCACACATTTTTCCTATGTTAAGAAATGAATACACTGGTTCAGTAAAAGTTAGTTTATTATAACCTTCTGCAGTTCAACCAATGACAGATTTCTTAAAAGTTTTAAAACCAGTTACATATTCATNGATGATGGTTTTCGATTATGGGCAGTGGCAACAGGTCTGAGCTTGAAGGAGAAGTGTTGTATATAAAGCCATTTATTTTGTGGCTGTTGCTTGTTCATGGGTGTCTAAAGCTGCTGGTTCTAATTGAGTTCTTCGAATGGAGCTCCGCCATAATGCCCTTATGGTTGGGGGTTTTGAAGGAGTAAAGCCTATAGTGGTGATGTAAATGGGGATTAAAATTTATCTTCTTTTTTTTTTTTTAACTCGTGTAAAATTCTCTAATTCATTCAATAAAATTTAAAAAAAAAAAAAAAAAATGAAGTAGTTACCAAACATACNTTTCAAGCTGTCCTTGATGAAGAAGAAATATGACCATGTTATGAGCATGATAAGGAATTCACAGCTTTGTGGCCAGGCAATGATTGCTTATCTGCAACAGAAGGGATTCCCTGAAGTTGCTCTCCATTTTGTGAAAGACGAGAGAACTCGTTTCAATCTGGCTTTGGAAAGTGGTAACATTCAGATTGCAGTTGCTTCGGCTAAGGAAATTGACGAGAAGGATCATTGGTATAGGTTGGGAGTTGAGNACTTTTTTTTTATTTTCATAATTTGATAAACACAAATGACTCCCAAACATATTTTTTGTTTCAATATTTACTACTAAATATATACAAAAATTGTCTCTATTTTTGATTATTTTGAAGACGCAAAAACAAAAAATGTTACTAAACGATCCCTTAGTTTTTGGATGTTCAACTTTCTATTTTTGGTATTCAATTTTTAATTTTATCAATTATCACCAATATTAAAATTCCAAAATGACCTTTTTACCGGGTGGAANACTCATTTTTTTTATCTCTCTCCGATAAAAATAAAAAATAAAAGTTAAAATATCTTTCTTGACAATATTAACACATTTTTTTTGTGTCTTCTTTTCAGATAGAAAATTAAAAATAAATTAAATTTTTTTAAACAATAATACTAAAAAATACAAAGGCTTCCATTTAATATTTTTACTTTAGGCCTCAAATTAGCTTGAGCCGTCCCTCTTGATACACTTGACTATGGTATCGAAAGTGGTAAATGATGGTATGGTATCAACTTCTTATTTTTTTGGGTACTGTAGATTTGTTGCATCCAATCCAACGGNAACGCACAAAAGACCATTCCAACCGGATGTTTTAATCCAACGGTCAATATTGATGGAAATGTATATAGATTTTACAGTGAACACAAACACCTTAACAGATACAGAGCGACTTAGCAACGAAAACATTTCAATTCCCGACCGTCTTCTCTCTCTCTCTCTCTCTCTTACACACATACACACGCAGAGAGACACACGAACAAACGCAGAGAGGTTTCTCGATCTACAAGGTTGTGGATTTCTTCCTCCTCTCTCCCCCGTCCCCCATCCGTCTTTCTCTTTGTTTGTGGTGTATTCAATCTGATCCATAGTTCTACTTATCAGATCTGAGGTACGAATTTNATAAAGGCAGATACTCCCTCATTCATCATCTTCAAAATCCTTGCCACTGGAGCAGAAGTCGCCGATGCCTTGCTACTTAGCACTGATCTCCTCTTTCTACTACTTGGAATGGTGTTTAGTTTTACAATTGCTGTCTTGGTACTTGACAAGGTCAGAAGTGATGTCTTCAATGCTCAGCGTAGTTCTTGACTTGAAATGTAAGTTATTGTATTCATCAAGAAGCAAGATTCATGTAACCGATCCAAATAATTCCGATAAAGGATATGTTGAGTTGAGATGTATCAGGAAGCATAGAGTAAGAAGCCAATATAGTCTATACAAGTTTAAGTGGATGTTGTTGATGAAGAATGCAAGGGCTTTTTTCTTTGGTGATTTTTCACATGGTTCCTGAAAGTCCTATTCATTAATCAATAGTCTGACCTTGATATCAGGGCCGGCCCAACCGAAGCATAGACTCTATGTCCCAAATTTTTAGAAGGCCTATAATTTTAGGTACATCACTAGTTGACAAAAAAAATTAAATTTATTAAATTTTAAGTCCTACAAAAAAGCTTTAAAAAATTAAATTCAATCAAAATTTTTATTGTAATAATTTAGGTCTATAATTCAATTCATAAAATTAAAAACTTAGAAATTAAAAAAATACTTAAAAGTCAGTTCATATTTATTCTCACTCATTTTTTTTATCTCTCTCCGATAAAAATAAAAAATAAAAGTTAAAATATCTTTTTCGACAATATTAACACATTTTTCTTGTGTCTTCTTTTCAGATAGAAAATTAAAAATAAATTAAATTTTTTTAAACAATAATACTAAAAAATACAAAGGCCTCCATTTAATATTTTTACTTTAGGCCTCAAATTAGCTTGAGCCGCCCCTCTTGATACACTTGACTATGGTATCGAAAGTGGTAAATGATGGTATGGTATCAACTTCTTCTTTTTTTGGGTACTGTAGATTTGTTGCATCCAATCCAACGAAAAATCGACAGGAAAAGGAAGATGGAGAGGGAAAAGGGAGAACCTTTAGGGAAAGAACTTGGGGCAAAGAAAGGAAGCAAAAGTAAGTGCGATGAGTAAGAACTTCAAAGGTTAAATATCATACATAGTTCTTGGACTTCGTCTTCTGTTTTAAAATGGTCATTGAATTTTTAATCTTGTATTAATTAGGTCTTCATGTTAATTGTAGTTGTTAGACCAAATAGAGGTATGTCATGTATTTGTCACGTGGCCTTCCAAGTTAAAAATTAATAATTGACAGAATGACTTATTTGATAGAAAATTAATAATTAAGAGATTATAAGATTGTTTGATAACATCGCTCAGGGTTTAAAATTGAATATTTTAAACACTTAATAAATTAAACTCATTTGATAATTTAAAACTTATATTACTTAATATTTTAAGTACTTTTTAAAAATAAACTAAAATTTTAAATAACAAATCACTTACTTTTTACTTGACATTAAAAATGTTAGTAAAGATTTTATCAATTTCTCATAATGAATAAATATATCTTCACTGCTATTGTGTTATCGCCACCCCCACCACCACTGTTATCATAACCAGCATTATGTCACCGTCACCACCACCATCACCACTACCATCGTTGTCACTAGCACTACTATTATGCCACCATCACCACAAATTGATACCACCATCACCACCATTGTGTTGTCGTCGCCAATACTGTCATTGTTACCACCACTATCATCGCTGCCGTCGCCTATCATTGTGTCATTACCACCACCATGCTATCACCTCCTCCACCATCACCACTACCAGCACCGTCACCACCACTAACATTATGTTATAGCTATTGCTACCATTGTGCCACTACTATCACCACAACCACCACCATCACCATTATCACCGTCGCCACCCACCACCACCACCGTTGTTGTCACCACTATTTGTGATGGTGGTGATAGGAAAAAGACAGTTGAAGAGAGATAATTAAAGAGAAGGACAAAATTAGAATAAAAATATTTTTTAAACTTTATTTCCTTATGTTTGTCAAGCAATTTAATTAAATTCAATACTTAAATTTCAGTTGATAATAAATGGTCTGTGAATTAAAAAATTCAGCATTTAGGGGTTGTTTGATAATTACTTTTTTCTTGTGTGTTTGTATTTTTATTTTTAATTTTTTTAAAAAAATAAAAATAAAAATATGTTGGTTACTGTTTTTGTTTTATATAAGTTGTTTTAGAAACAAAGACAAAAAAATAAAAACAAAAAATTTGTGTTCTAGAAAACATACAAAACACAAAACATGCGATATTAGTATAAATAAGGTCGCAGCTTCGAGTTCTGTTAGTCATAAAATACCACTTCATACGAGGGAGTATAAATATGGGGTTTTATTGTTGTTTCGTCCTCACAGAACACAGACGAATCGCCCCTCAGCTACTCTCTCCTCTTCTCTGTCTCTCTCTCAGCAACTTTCTCTCTTCTACCTCAGTAACAATGAAGAAGAAAAGGCAATAACGCCAGCACCACCATCATCGAAGCCCTCTCCAGCGTTGCTTCCATTATCGAAGTCCTAGCGTCCATCGTACATATCTCTCTCTCTCTCTCTCACACACACATTGTCGAACGAATTAGCCCCCTTTCTCTCTATCTCTCTCTCACAGTTGAACTTGAACAACTTCAAGCTCTCTCAGTCGAACTCGATCGAATCAGCCCCTCTCAGTCAAACTCAAACGGAGCAGCCTTGGCATTTAGGTTTTTGTTTTTCCTTAGCTTGAAGGTTGGATTGTACTGATTTTTGGCTTTAAAATTAGTGTTAGTGTTTTTTGTTTGAAATTGAGATTGATTGTTGTATGCCCATAAAGTATTCGATGAATTGCCTGAAAGAATGTATATTGGTCCCTGTGTATGTGTTGTGTGTGTTCTATAAGAGTGTGTGTGTGGTTTGTCTATGTGTGTTCTGTGAGTGTGTGCAGTCTAGATTTGACTTTTTCCATGTTGAGAAGTTTCCATTACAGGCGAGATTGTTGTTGCTTCATTTAGGGTGCAGGATCAAAGTTCAGGGCTTCAAATCTGGGCAGTGGAAGCTGATATGGGATCCTAAAGGAGAGCTGATTATATTTTTTGAGTGTTTTGAAGGATTAAAGCCTTCTAATTGTGGTGTAAATGAGATTTTCTTTCCCTTTGATTCGTGCAATTCTTTTGATTGAGTGTATGTATGTTATTTAGAATGTTGAGCATAATATATTTAATTAATTGTGTAAGTGAACAAATTGTTCCCGTATGAAAAATTTAGCATAATATGTTTGATTATTGTTCCTATTGTTACTGGTTGCTGATCCATCGTTGCTGGTTGTTGATCTATTGCTGCTGGTTGGGTCTGTGTGTTAATAGTGTGTGGATCTGTGTGTGTATTGTGTCTGTGTTAGTATGTGTATTTATTTTGGAATTGTGTTGAAATTGGGACTGGAATTGGAAAAGAATGTGATTTTCTTTTTGTGGGTCTTGATTCATTTTCCCCCATCTTTTAATTTCAAGATGAAATTGAATGGTGTGAATAATTTCCCTTGGAAGCATTGATATATCACAGGAGGATCTTCCTATTATGGCAAGACTTCTCCTTATGCAAGATCTGCTGTTGCTGGTTGCTTCTGCTTATGATGCTTACTCTGAATTACTATTGTGCTGTGGATGATGGTTTTCGATTATGGGCAGTGGCAACAGGTCTGAGCTTGAAGGAGAAGTGTTGTATATAAAGCCATTTATTTTGTGGCTGTTGCTTGTTCATGGGTGTCTAAAGCTGCTGGTTCTAATTGAGTTCTTCGAATGGAGCTCCGCCATAATGCCCTTATGGTTGGGGGTTTTGAAGGAGTAAAGCCTATAGTGGTGATGTAAATGGGGATTAAAATTTATCTTCTTTTTTTTTTTTTAACTCGTGTAAAATTCTCTAATTCATTCAATAAAATTTAAAAAAAAAAAAAAAAAATGAAGTAGTTACCAAACATACTTTTTTTTTATTTTCATAATTTGATAAACACAAATGACTCCCAAACATATTTTTTGTTTCAATATTTACTACTAAATATATACAAAAATTGTCTCTATTTTTGATTATTTTGAAGACGCAAAAACAAAAAATGTTACTAAACGATCCCTTAGTTTTTGGATGTTCAACTTTCTATTTTTGGTATTCAATTTTTAATTTTATCAATTATCACCAATATTAAAATTCCAAAATGACCTTTTTACCGGGTGGAAGACGTTGACGAGAACCTAGAAACAGATCTACACCGTCCGCAAGCTTCCCACAAAAATATTCCCTAAGATGGAAGCCTTTTGATTTATTGCATGGGTTGACAAACGCACAAAAGACCATTCCAACCGGATGTTTTAATCCAACGGTCAATATTGATGGAAATGTATATAGATTTTACAGTGAACACAAACACCTTAACAGATACAGAGCGACTTAGCAACGAAAACATTTCAATTCCCGACCGTCTTCTCTCTCTCTCTCTCTCTCTTACACACATACACACGCAGAGAGACACACGAACAAACGCAGAGAGGTTTCTCGATCTACAAGGTTGTGGATTTCTTCCTCCTCTCTCCCCCGTCCCCCATCCGTCTTTCTCTTTGTTTGTGGTGTATTCAATCTGATCCATAGTTCTACTTATCAGATCTGAGGTACGAATTTCTTATTTTTCTATATGTTTGATTAAATCTGTAGTTTTACTCTTTGTAGATCTGTGATTGAGATGTCCCAATCAATAATGTAATTGTGAAGCGCAATTCGGAATTCATTTGATAAGGTTTAGATCGAAATTATCCGTCGTAGTGTTTTTAGGGGTTTGATGGAGTTTTGATTATGTGCAGAGTTGGGGAATTTGGTGTTGGTGTTGTTTTGATCGGAGAAATGTTGACAAAGTTCGAGACGAAGAGTAATAGAGTGAAGGGACTGAGTTTCCACAGTAAGAGACCGTGGATCCTTGCCAGTCTTCACAGTGGTGTGATCCAGCTATGGGATTACAGAATGGGGACACTCATAGACAAGTTTGATGAGCATGATGGGCCTGTTCGCGGCGTTCATTTTCACAAATCTCAGCCCCTATTCGTGTCTGGAGGTATTGAATTTTGGCACTCTATAAAAATAATTTGGTCTATTACTTTGCGTGCACTTCCCAAATTTGGTTGTATAGTGTTCCCTATGTTAGAGTCTTTCTGGTTCCACTTGAAGTTATTTGATTTTTGCTATGTTAATGTCAAAATATTTTCTTTAGACCAGTTGTTACTGATTTCCCATAGATCTAGATGTGGCACATTAGATTGATCCTTGATTTCTATCGGTTTCTCCAAGATAATCAAACCTGCTGCCTGAATTGTGTACGGGGACTAGAATTGGACTCTGATAAAATCGATTTGGGTTTGAGTTATTTTTTCAGATCTCAGACTTTGTCAATATGAGTCCTTGTTGATACTGTAAATTTCTTATAGATTTTGTATGCAAGTGGCTGGAAATTTATGCAGTCTTGCATTTGGAAAGAATGCGTAGACTGGAGTGTTACTTTTGTTGATGCTGGGGTTCAGTTGGAGTTCTGCTTTAATCGATACAAATAATTGGAATTCAAAATTGTGTTTTCCTTCATATTTGGTTCGTTTGTGGCGTATGTGGAAGGTATGACGGCAGTAAACGTGTTTCTTTGTTATTGTGACTTATACAGGTGATGATTACAAGATTAAAGTTTGGAACTACAAATTGCATAGATGTCTATTTACTCTCCTTGGACACCTTGATTACATCCGTACTGTGCAGTTTCACCATGAATATCCCTGGATAGTGAGTTCGAGTGATGACCAGACCATCAGAATCTGGAACTGGCAATCACGCACTTGTATTTCTGTCCTGACTGGCCACAATCATTATGTAATGTGTGCATCATTCCACCCCAAAGAAGACCTGGTTGTGTCAGCATCCCTCGATCAGACAGTTCGTGTCTGGGATATTGGTGCGCTGAGGAAGAAGACAGTGTCCCCTGCTGATGATATTCTGCGTCTGAGTCAAATGAACACTGATCTTTTTGGTGCGGTTGATGCTGTTGTTAAGTATGTATTGGAAGGCCATGACCGTGGAGTCAACTGGGCTTCATTTCATCCTACCTTGCCTCTAATTGTATCTGGTGCTGATGACCGTCAAGTGAAGTTGTGGCGGATGAATGGTGAGTCATTAAATGACTCTGTTGTATTTGTTTCACTGGTCCATTACAAATTTTTGGTGGTCTCTTTTGTAGCCATTAATCTGGGCTAGCCATGTCCAAATCTGGTATATGTTAATGATTCCCTGTTAATTAAATTAGTGGTGATATGTGGTTTCAAATATGTCTGAAGTGACATGTTTGGTTATTGTAGAATGTACGCTGCTTCCTTGAAATTGTTTGGCCAAAGGCTTTATTTCAATTTTCATTCAGATGGTCAAGAATATGAAGAAATATGGATCGTCTCCTGTTCATTTAAAAGAATTGGTAAGTACAGAATAATCTCAAGTATTGATGGAATTTACTCTTTTCTCCAACAGACACGAAGGCTTGGGAGGTGGACACATTAAGAGGGCATATGAATAATGTATCATGTGTTATGTTTCATGCGAAGCAAGATATAATTGTTTCCAACTCGGAGGACAAGAGCATTCGTGTGTGGGATGTAACAAAGCGGACAGGTGTCCAAACTTTCCGCCGGGAACATGATCGATTTTGGATTCTTTCATCTCACCCTGAGATGAATCTGCTGGCAGCTGGCCATGATAGTGGCATGATAGTGTTTAAGCTGGAGAGAGAAAGACCTGCCTTTTCAGTGAGTAGTGATTCTATGTTCTATGCTAAGGATCGGTTTCTGCGGTTTNTACTGGGGGATACCCTAAGACAGACTATCTTGTAGTTTATGACATTGTATGCTTGACGTATTTGTTTCGATANTGCTAAGGATCGGTTTCTGCGGTTTTATGAATTTTCATCTCAGAGGGACACCCAAGTGATTCCAATTAGACGCCCTGGGTTTACCAGCCTAAATCAAGGTCCAAGAACTCTTTCATATAGTCCTACTNTTTATGAATTTTCATCTCAGAGGGACACCCAAGTGATTCCAATTAGACGCCCTGGGTCTACCAGCCTAAATCAAGGTCCAAGAACTCTTTCATATAGTCCTACCNTTGTGTACGGGGACTAGAATTGGACTCTGATAAAATCGATTTGGGTTTGAGTTATTTTTTCAGATCTCAGACTTTGTCAATATGAGTCCTTGTTGATACTGTAAATTTCTTATAGATTTTGTATGCAAGTTGCTGGAAATTTATGCAGTCTTGCATTTGGAATGAATGCGTAGACTGGAGTGTTACTTTTGTTGATGCTGGGGTTCAGTTGGAGTTCTGATTTAATCGATACAAATAATTGGNCCGAAAATGCTGTGCTTATCTGCTCTGATACAGATGGTGGATCTTATGAGCTCTATGTTGTACCCAAGGAAAGCATTAATAGGGGTGATACTGTGCCAGAGGCAAAAAGAGGTATGGGAGGATCAGCTATTTTTGTGGCTCGAAATCGTTTTGCTGTGCTTGACAAAAGCAGCAACCAAGTTCTCGTGAAGAACCTGAAGAACGAGATTGTTAAGAAGAGTAGCCTCCCTATCACTGCTGATGCTATTTTTTATGCCGGAACAGGTAACCTTCTTTGTAGGGCAGAGGATAGGGTGGTTATATATGACCTCCAACAAAGGATTGTTCTAGGTGATCTTCAAACCCCTTTTGTCAAGTATATTGTCTGGTCGAATGACATGGAGAGCGTTGCCTTGCTCAGCAAGCACTCTATAGTTATTGCTAGTAAGAAGCTCGTGCATCAGTGCACCCTTCACGAAACAATTCGTGTAAAGAGTGGAGCCTGGGATGACAATGGGGTTTTTATCTACACAACGCTGAATCACATCAAATACTGCCTTCCCAATGGTGATAGTGGAATAATAAGGACCCTTGATGTCCCGATATACATGACAAAAGTGTCAGGAAATAAGATTTTTTGCTTGGATCGAGATGGTAAGAACAGGGTGATTGTTATTGATGCAACAGAATATATTTTCAAGCTGTCCTTGATGAAGAAGAAATATGACCATGTTATGAGCATGATAAGGAACTCACAGCTTTGTGGCCAGGCAATGATTGCTTATCTGCAGCAGAAGGGATTCCCTGAAGTTGCTCTCCATTTTGTGAAAGATGAGAGAACTCGTTTCAATCTGGCTTTGGAAAGTGGTAACATTCAGATTGCAGTTGCTTCGGCTAAGGAAATTGACGAGAAGGATCATTGGTATAGGTTGGGAGTTGAGGCTCTTCGCCAAGGCAATGCTGGTATTGTAGAGTATGCCTACCAGAGAACAAAGAATTTTGAGAGGTTATCTTTCCTATATCTTATAACGGGAAATACAGAGAAGCTGTCCAAAATGCTCAAAATTGCTGAAGTCAAGAATGATGTTATGGGCCAGTTCCATAATGCGCTATATTTGGGTGATGTTCGAGAGCGTATTAAGATTTTGGAAAATGCTGGTCATTTGCCGCTTGCTTATATCACTGCTTCAGTCCATGGGCTACAGGATGTTGCTGAACGGCTTGCAATAGAGTTGGGAGATAGTGTTCCCATCTTGCCGAAGGGCAAGGAACCTTCCCTTCTGATGCCTCCGGCGCCCGTTTTGTGTGGTGGAGATTGGCCCCTCTTGAGAGTCATGAGAGGCATTTTTGAGGGTGGGCTTGATAATATTGGCAAGGGTGCCGCTGATGAAGAGGAAGAGGCTGCTGATGCTGATTGGGGTGAAGAATTGGATATGGTTGATGTGGATGTCTTACAGAATGGGGATATTGAAGCAGTTTTGGAGGATGGGGAAGTTCCTGAAGAAAATGAGGAAGAGGGAGGATGGGAACTTGAGGATTTGGAACTTCCTCCTGAGGCAGATACTCCAAAGGCTTCTATCAATTCCCGCTCCTCTGTCTTTGTGGTCCCAACTCCTGGCATGCCTGTTAGCCAAATTTGGACTCAGAAATCTTCTCTTGCTGCTGAACATGCGGCAGCTGGTCATTTTGACACTTCAATGCGGCTGTTGAGCCGGCAACTTGGAATAAGAAACTTTACTCCTTTGAGATCCATGTTTCTTGACCTTCACGCTGGAAGCCATACTTATCTGCGTGCATTTTCATCTGCTCCAGTGTTAACAATGACGGTTGAACGGGGTTGGAGTGAGTCTTCCAGCCCTAATGTACGGGGCCCGCCAGCTCTTGTGTTCAATTTCTCTCAGTTGGAAGAGAAATTGAAAGCTGGTTACAAAGCTACAACAGCTGGAAAATTCACCGAGGCTCTTCAGCTGTTCCTCAATATTCTGCATACAATTCCTTTGATTGTTGTTGAATCAAGAAGGGAGGTTGATGAAGTAAAGGAATTGATTATTATAGTTAAGGAGTATGTTTTGGGTCTTCAATTGGAGCTCAAGAGAAGGGAACTTGAGGATGATCCAGTGCGCCAGCAGGAGCTTGCTGCTTATTTCACCCACTGCAACCTTCAAATGCCTCACTTGAGGCTGGCATTGCAAAAAGCAATGGTGGTATGTTTCAAGGCAAAGAACCTTAGTACAGCTGCCAACTTTGCCAGGCGGCTCCTGGAGACCAACCCTACCATTGAAAGCCAAGCAAAGGCAGCCCGCCAAGTGCTCCAGGCTGCTGAGAAGAACATGAGAGATGCGTCTCAGCTGAACTACGATTTCAGAAATCCATTTGTGATCTGTGGAGCGACATATGTTCCCATCTATCGAGGACAGAAAGATGTATCATGTCCATACTGCAGTTCCCGTTTTGTGCCAAGCCAGGAAGGCCAGCTCTGTACTGTTTGTGATCTTGCTGTAGTCGGGGCAGATGCTTCAGGTTTGATCTGTTCGCCCTCCCAAATAAGATGATCAATCTACTGAACCAGGAACATATCGATAATCATCCTACTGGCAGTTGAAACGTTCTTGTTGATACATTCTTCTGTGCCGGCACAGGTAAGGATAGTGAACAACAATTAAGTGTCCATTGAATGGGTTGTGCCCATCTTGTCTTTCTCTTTTGGCTCCCATCCTTTGTTTCCCATATTTTCTAGTTGATGACAAGTTTCAATGCAATAAGCAACTTGACAATTTTGACTTCAGCTATTCTTGTTAGTTGTTCATAGGAAAGAATGGTCGAGGGTTTTTTTAAGGTAGATGAATGACTATAGGTGAGAAGGCTTATTGGCTTATGAAGATCAGTTGGCAAATTGTTATTGTCTCTGCTGAATTTTGCACTTTCATCGGTTGGCAATCGTCAAAGAAGTGTTACCCTTTATAGTTTTCAGCTGTATCTAAGTAATCGACACTTTATGGTGTACCTCTGGCATTTGCAAGTTTTTTTGGCAAATTTTTTTGCATTCTAAATGCTTTTGGTCTATTTGTGGTTGCTGTAAAGACATCATTAGAGTAACATTTCAAGGATGCTAGTAGTTACATTGCATGTGATTTCTGATTATCATTTCAAATGTTTTGGTGATTGTTATTGATGCAACAGAATATATTTTCAAGCTGCCCATAGGGCTGTCCTTAGTGAAGAAGAAATATGATCCTATTATGTTCATGATAAAAGAACTCACAGCTCTATGGGCAGGCAATGATTGCTAAATTAGTAGCGACCATGTGCGATATTCGGAATTTATAACTTTCCCCAGTTCGTATCCATCAATTTGGGTTTTAATAAAAATTGTAGTAAATTGTGTTTATGAATTAATTGTTGCTGGAAAATGCTTGCTGACTTGTGTGAATGATGTTTCTGAACATTGGATGTTGAACTAATTGATGCCAGTGTCTACTGAAATCAGATCTTATAAGTTCCCTTGCACTGTTGTTTTGAGGAGTGGGTGTGGAGCTGTTCTGCATTTACTATATCATTCTGCTTTGCTGAATGTATTTTTGGTTATGGATTTTTTATTACTTTTTTCCTTTCATTGTAAAGCTTTCACTCGTATTAATAAAATAGTTAATAACATTGATGGGATTATTGGGAGTTTTTTAATTCATTGCGGAAGAATTTAGTTTTCAAGAAAGCTGGACTCCATGTTCAGTGCTTAGTATATAGTAAAAGATTCTCCTCTTTTCTCTTTTTCTTAGAACAAAAAAGGTCAATAATTGCAGGCTACTGAACTTGACTTTAATTTTAGCCATTCGAAGATGTTCGTTTGAGCCATCAANTTCAGTGCTTAGTATATAGTAAAAGATTCTCCTCTTTTCTCTTTTTCTTAGAACAAACAAGGTCAATAATTGCAGGCTACTGAACTTGACTTTAATTTTAGCCATTCGAAGATGTTCGTTTGAGCCATCAGTTAGGTAACTGTCTGGGACTGGGGCCATTGAAAGTTAGTGCAGGTGAAATGACATTGTAATGGTGATTTTGTACAACATCTAAGACTATTGATCACGTGAGAGAGGTTTCAACTTTCATGTCCATTACACGTAAGTATTCATAATGCTCNAACCTAGAAACAGATCTACACCGTCCGCAAGCTTCCCACAAAAATATTCCCTAAGATGGAAGCCTTTTGATTTATTGCATGGGTTGACAAACGCACAAAAGACCATTCCAACCGGATGTTTTAATCCAACGGTCAATATTGATGGACATGTATATAGATTTTACAGTGAACACAAACACCTTAACAGACACAGAGCGACTTAGCAACGAAAACATTTCAATTCCCGACCGTCTTCTCTCTCTCTCACACACACACACGCAGAGAGACACACGAACAAACGCAGAGAGGTTTCTCGATCTACAAGGTTGTGGATTTCTTCCTCCCCTCTCCCCCGTCCCCCCTCCGTCTTTCTCTTTGTTTGTGGTGTATTCAATCTGATCCATAGTTCTACTTATCAGATCTGAGGTACGAATTTCTTATTTTTCTATATGTTTGATTAAATCTGTAGTTTTACTCTTTGTAGATCTGTGATTGAGATGTCCCAATCAATAATGTAATTGTGAAGCGCAATTCGGAATTCATTTGATAAGGTTTAGATCGAAATTATCCGTCGTAGTGTGTTTAGGGGTTTGATGGAGTGTTGATTATGTGCAGAGTTGGGGAATTTGGTGTTGGTGTTGTTTTGATCGGAGAAATGTTGACAAAGTTCGAGACGAAGAGTAATAGAGTGAAGGGACTGAGTTTCCACAGTAAGAGACCGTGGATCCTTGCCAGTCTTCACAGTGGTGTGATCCAGCTATGGGATTACAGAATGGGGACACTCATAGACAAGTTTGATGAGCATGATGGGCCTGTTCGCGGCGTTCATTTTCACAAATCTCAGCCCCTATTCGTGTCTGGAGGTATTGAATTTTGGCACTCTATAAAAATAATTTGGTCTATTACTTTGCGTGCACTTCCCAAATTTGGTTGTATAGTGTTCCCTATGTTAGAGTCTTTCTGGTTCCACTTGAAGTTATTTGATTTTTGCTATGTTAATGTCAAAATATTTTCTTTAGACCAGTTGTTACTGATTTCCCATAGATCTAGATGTGGCACATTAGATTGATCCTTGATTTCTATCGGTTTCTCCAAGATAATCAAACCTGCTGCCTGAATTGTGTACGGGGACTAGAATTGGACTCTGATAAAATCGATTTGGGTTTGAGTTATTTTTTCAGATCTCAGACTTTGTCAATATGAGTCCTTGTTGATACTGTAAATTTCTTATAGATTTTGTATGCAAGTGGCTGGAAATTTATGCAGTCTTGCATTTGGAAAGAATGCGTAGACTGGAGTGTTACTTTTGTTGATGCTGGGGTTCAGTTGGAGTTCTGCTTTAATCGATACAAATAATTGGAATTCAAAATTGTGTTTTCCTTCATATTTGGTTCGTTTGTGGCGTATGTGGAAGGTATGACGGCAGTAAACGTGTTTCTTTGTTATTGTGACTTATACAGGTGATGATTACAAGATTAAAGTTTGGAACTACAAATTGCATAGATGTCTATTTACTCTCCTTGGACACCTTGATTACATCCGTACTGTGCAGTTTCACCATGAATATCCCTGGATAGTGAGTTCGAGTGATGACCAGACCATCAGAATCTGGAACTGGCAATCACGCACTTGTATTTCTGTCCTGACTGGCCACAATCATTATGTAATGTGTGCATCATTCCACCCCAAAGAAGACCTGGTTGTGTCAGCATCCCTCGATCAGACAGTTCGTGTCTGGGATATTGGTGCGCTGAGGAAGAAGACTGTGTCCCCTGCTGATGATATTCTGCGTCTGAGTCAAATGAACACTGATCTTTTTGGTGCGGTTGATGCTGTTGTTAAGTATGTATTGGAAGGCCATGACCGTGGAGTCAACTGGGCTTCATTTCATCCTACCTTGCCTCTAATTGTATCTGGTGCTGATGACCGTCAAGTGAAGTTGTGGCGGATGAATGGTGAGTCATTAAATGACTCTGTTGTATTTGTTTCACTGGTCCATTACAAATTTTTGGTGGTCTCTTTTGTAGCCATTAATCTGGGCTAGCCATGTCCAAATCTGGTATATGTTAATGATTCCCTGTTAATTAAATTAGTGGTGATATGTGGTTTCAAATATGTCTGAAGTGACATGTTTGGTTATTGTAGAATGTACGCTGCTTCCTTGAAATTGTTTGGCCAAAGGCTTTATTTCAATTTTCATTCAGATGGTCAAGAATATGAAGAAATATGGATCGTCTCCTGTTCATTTAAAAGAATTGGTAAGTACAGAATAATCTCAAGTATTGATGGAATTTACTCTTTTCTCCAACAGACACGAAGGCTTGGGAGGTGGACACATTAAGAGGGCATATGAATAATGTATCATGTGTTATGTTTCATGCGAAGCAAGATATAATTGTTTCCAACTCGGAGGACAAGAGCATTCGTGTGTGGGATGTAACAAAGCGGACAGGTGTCCAAACTTTCCGCCGGGAACATGATCGATTTTGGATTCTTTCATCTCACCCTGAGATGAATCTGCTGGCAGCTGGCCATGATAGTGGCATGATAGTGTTTAAGCTGGAGAGAGAAAGACCTGCCTTTTCAGTGAGTAGTGATTCTATGTTCTATGCTAAGGATCGGTTTCTGCGGTTTTATGAATTTTCATCTCAGAGGGACACCCAAGTGATTCCAATTAGACGCCCTGGGTCTACCAGCCTAAATCAAGGTCCAAGAACTCTTTCATATAGTCCTACCGAAAATGCTGTGCTTATCTGCTCTGATACAGATGGTGGATCTTATGAGCTCTATGTTGTACCCAAGGAAAGCATTAATAGGGGTGATACTGTGCCAGAGGCAAAAAGAGGTATGGGAGGATCAGCTATTTTTGTGGCTCGAAATCGTTTTGCTGTGCTTGACAAAAGCAGCAACCAAGTTCTCGTGAAGAACCTGAAGAACGAGATTGTTAAGAAGAGTAGCCTCCCTATCACTGCTGATGCTATTTTTTATGCCGGAACAGGTAACCTTCTTTGTAGGGCAGAGGATAGGGTGGTTATATATGACCTCCAACAAAGGATTGTTCTAGGTGATCTTCAAACCCCTTTTGTCAAGTATATTGTCTGGTCGAATGACATGGAGAGCGTTGCCTTGCTCAGCAAGCACTCTATAGTTATTGCTAGTAAGAAGCTCGTGCATCAGTGCACCCTTCACGAAACAATTCGTGTAAAGAGTGGAGCCTGGGATGACAATGGGGTTTTTATCTACACAACGCTGAATCACATCAAATACTGCCTTCCCAATGGTGATAGTGGAATAATAAGGACCCTTGATGTCCCGATATACATGACAAAAGTGTCAGGAAATAAGATTTTTTGCTTGGATCGAGATGGTAAGAACAGGGTGATTGTTATTGATGCAACAGAATATATTTTCAAGCTGTCCTTGATGAAGAAGAAATATGACCATGTTATGAGCATGATAAGGAACTCACAGCTTTGTGGCCAGGCAATGATTGCTTATCTGCAGCAGAAGGGATTCCCTGAAGTTGCTCTCCATTTTGTGAAAGATGAGAGAACTCGTTTCAATCTGGCTTTGGAAAGTGGTAACATTCAGATTGCAGTTGCTTCGGCTAAGGAAATTGACGAGAAGGATCATTGGTATAGGTTGGGAGTTGAGGCTCTTCGCCAAGGCAATGCTGGTATTGTAGAGTATGCCTACCAGAGAACAAAGAATTTTGAGAGGTTATCTTTCCTATATCTTATAACGGGAAATACAGAGAAGCTGTCCAAAATGCTCAAAATTGCTGAAGTCAAGAATGATGTTATGGGCCAGTTCCATAATGCGCTATATTTGGGTGATGTTCGAGAGCGTATTAAGATTTTGGAAAATGCTGGTCATTTGCCGCTTGCTTATATCACTGCTTCAGTCCATGGGCTACAGGATGTTGCTGAACGGCTTGCAATAGAGTTGGGAGATAGTGTTCCCATCTTGCCGAAGGGCAAGGAACCTTCCCTTCTGATGCCTCCGGCGCCCGTTTTGTGTGGTGGAGATTGGCCCCTCTTGAGAGTCATGAGAGGCATTTTTGAGGGTGGGCTTGATAATATTGGCAAGGGTGCCGCTGATGAAGAGGAAGAGGCTGCTGATGCTGATTGGGGTGAAGAATTGGATATGGTTGATGTGGATGTCTTACAGAATGGGGATATTGAAGCAGTTTTGGAGGATGGGGAAGTTCCTGAAGAAAATGAGGAAGAGGGAGGATGGGAACTTGAGGATTTGGAACTTCCTCCTGAGGCAGATACTCCAAAGGCTTCTATCAATTCCCGCTCCTCTGTCTTTGTGGTCCCAACTCCTGGCATGCCTGTTAGCCAAATTTGGACTCAGAAATCTTCTCTTGCTGCTGAACATGCGGCAGCTGGTCATTTTGACACTTCAATGCGGCTGTTGAGCCGGCAACTTGGAATAAGAAACTTTACTCCTTTGAGATCCATGTTTCTTGACCTTCACGCTGGAAGCCATACTTATCTGCGTGCATTTTCATCTGCTCCAGTGTTAACAATGACGGTTGAACGGGGTTGGAGTGAGTCTTCCAGCCCTAATGTACGGGGCCCGCCAGCTCTTGTGTTCAATTTCTCTCAGTTGGAAGAGAAATTGAAAGCTGGTTACAAAGCTACAACAGCTGGAAAATTCACCGAGGCTCTTCAGCTGTTCCTCAATATTCTGCATACAATTCCTTTGATTGTTGTTGAATCAAGAAGGGAGGTTGATGAAGTAAAGGAATTGATTATTATAGTTAAGGAGTATGTTTTGGGTCTTCAATTGGAGCTCAAGAGAAGGGAACTTGAGGATGATCCAGTGCGCCAGCAGGAGCTTGCTGCTTATTTCACCCACTGCAACCTTCAAATGCCTCACTTGAGGCTGGCATTGCAAAAAGCAATGGTGGTATGTTTCAAGGCAAAGAACCTTAGTACAGCTGCCAACTTTGCCAGGCGGCTCCTGGAGACCAACCCTACCATTGAAAGCCAAGCAAAGGCAGCCCGCCAAGTGCTCCAGGCTGCTGAGAAGAACATGAGAGATGCGTCTCAGCTGAACTACGATTTCAGAAATCCATTTGTGATCTGTGGAGCGACATATGTTCCCATCTATCGAGGACAGAAAGATGTATCATGTCCATACTGCAGTTCCCGTTTTGTGCCAAGCCAGGAAGGCCAGCTCTGTACTGTTTGTGATCTTGCTGTAGTCGGGGCAGATGCTTCAGGTTTGATCTGTTCGCCCTCCCAAATAAGATGATCAATCTACTGAACCAGGAACATATCGATAATCATCCTACTGGCAGTTGAAACGTTCTTGTTGATACATTCTTCTGTGCCGGCACAGGTAAGGATAGTGAACAACAATTAAGTGTCCATTGAATGGGTTGTGCCCATCTTGTCTTTCTCTTTTGGCTCCCATCCTTTGTTTCCCATATTTTCTAGTTGATGACAAGTTTCAATGCAATAAGCAACTTGACAATTTTGACTTCAGCTATTCTTGTTAGTTGTTCATAGGAAAGAATGGTCGAGGGTTTTTTTAAGGTAGATGAATGACTATAGGTGAGAAGGCTTATTGGCTTATGAAGATCAGTTGGCAAATTGTTATTGTCTCTGCTGAATTTTGCACTTTCATCGGTTGGCAATCGTCAAAGAAGTGTTACCCTTTATAGTTTTCAGCTGTATCTAAGTAATCGACACTTTATGGTGTACCTCTGGCATTTGCAAGTTTTTTTGGCAAATTTTTTTGCATTCTAAATGCTTTTGGTCTATTTGTGGTTGCTGTAAAGACATCATTAGAGTAACATTTCAAGGATGCTAGTAGTTACATTGCATGTGATTTCTGATTATCATTTCAAATGTTTTGGTGATTGTTATTGATGCAACAGAATATATTTTCAAGCTGCCCATAGGGCTGTCCTTAGTGAAGAAGAAATATGATCCTATTATGTTCATGATAAAAGAACTCACAGCTCTATGGGCAGGCAATGATTGCTAAATTAGTAGCGACCATGTGCGATATTCGGAATTTATAACTTTCCCCAGTTCGTATCCATCAATTTGGGTTTTAATAAAAATTGTAGTAAATTGTGTTTATGAATTAATTGTTGCTGGAAAATGCTTGCTGACTTGTGTGAATGATGTTTCTGAACATTGGATGTTGAACTAATTGATGCCAGTGTCTACTGAAATCAGATCTTATAAGTTCCCTTGCACTGTTGTTTTGAGGAGTGGGTGTGGAGCTGTTCTGCATTTACTATATCATTCTGCTTTGCTGAATGTATTTTTGGTTATGGATTTTTTATTACTTTTTTCCTTTCATTGTAAAGCTTTCACTCGTATTAATAAAATAGTTAATAACATTGATGGGATTATTGGGAGTTTTTTAATTCATTGCGGAAGAATTTAGTTTTCAAGAAAGCTGGACTCCATGTTCAGTGCTTAGTATATAGTAAAAGATTCTCCTCTTTTCTCTTTTTCTTAGAACAAACAAGGTCAATAATTGCAGGCTACTGAACTTGACTTTAATTTTAGCCATTCGAAGATGTTCGTTTGAGCCATCAGTTAGGTAACTGTCTGGGACTGGGGCCATTGAAAGTTAGTGCAGGTGAAATGACATTGTAATGGTGATTTTGTACAACATCTAAGACTATTGATCACGTGAGAGATAGGTTTCAACTTTCATGTCCATTACACGTAAGTATTCATAATGCTGTTGTTTTCTTAATCCCTTAACTACTGATAATTCCTTTTTTAACCACACTCAACCGTCTATAATTGTTATAACTCTCTCTCTCTCTCAATTTTTTACAATAACGCATACGAATTTTTTTTTTTATAACTCTCTCTCTCTCTCTAATTTAAGTTTAGGTAGCAAGGCATGTGTTGATGTTTTTTTTTTTGGTGGCGGTGGGGATTTGAAAAAATATCGTCTTTTCGGGTATCTTCCCGTTTGTCCCCTCTCTGTACAGGTTCTTTCTTGCCCCTCTTTGTGTGGTCGAGGTCTTAGTATGCAAATTAATTATAGGTGGTTATAACTTTATTCTTTTCGTTAAGTATAGCTGATTATAACCTTAGAGCAACCTGTTCTTTATGAATTTGGCCATTCGGCACAATTCTCTTAATTAGGACATGAAATGTTTGAGAAGGGTGGATAAAGATTGGTTAATAAAGTTTTATCTCACTGGTAATGTGCATGGATAGCAACTTTAATTCAATAGGCCTTAGCCTTTGGCATTGCAATTTGCAATATACCTCTCTCAAAATATTTTGTAGAGCACTTATCCATTTTCCCCTTTGTGTGTATGTGTTTGACTGACAAGAAGATAAAGAATACCCAAACCATTAGCCTAATTTCCCCCATTACACTATGTGCATATGCTCATACATGTATATTGCTAGAGTGGATGACTCATTCATTTGGGGGCCGGGTCAGTAGGTATATATAGTGTTAAAGTGAGTAGTTCATATTCACTAGGTCCAGAATATTAATAATATAAAAGATAACAGATTTCAATAAGTTTATCGGACGGTATTAAATAAATTTATTTAACAGTCATCAACATCCCTCTCAAAATCATTCATATCACGGATTATCCTAATNAACATCCCTCTCAAAATCATTTATATCACGGATTATCCTAATATATATATATACTCTAATTTGTTGCCACGGCTTTTTGGCAAATCTATAACATTTTGATGATTAACTCAAAGGGGAGAGAAGGATGTCTTTAAATCTCTTTTGTCACCTTTCTAAAATAATCCATTTGGAGAAGTTCATTGACAATCAAATTTATTGAAGCACACTAACACCTAACATGAATAATGTGCATGTATTGTAATATTCGAAATGGCTGGAGGTCTTGACCCAGTTCTCAGCTGGTATATTAGTGTGAGTGTTTTCCTTCCAAAAAAAAAACAGAAATTAAATGAAAAAGCATCTATATTGGTAACTAATCCTAGAAAAATACAACTTTATACCCCATTGCTACCTTCGGATGTGTCATGTAGAAACTTAAACATTACAAATTAAACAGCTACATTAAGTAAAGGTCTTTGATAGATATTTTTTCTATAACAAACAATTGGCTTCGGCTTCAAAGAAGGAACCCACAAACAATGATATAATAAGTCAACAATGTCACATCGACAATTGAAAATAATATTAATTTGGGTATGTCATTTTTCGGTTTGTGTTGCGTTGTAGGGGTAGGGTATGGTAGGACTGCGAAAAATAATGGGTATTTTGCATTCTTACTCGATTTTTGCGATAACCATTCAATAGGATAGGATAAGGTCGAATAGGATAGGAAATTGCGGCCAATGAAATTTGAACACCCCTAATTTGAAATTAAAAATTTTGTGAGGTGACCTTTTTCATAGCCCTAAGACCTCACTAATAACTAAAGGCAACAATGAAAGTAAATTTCAGCTCATGTGTTATAAGACAGTTGCAAAGGCATTACTAGTAAATGTGTGTTACATACTTACATATAAGATAGTTTTACTTTTTTGTATCGTATTAAAAAATAATTCCCGATCAGACTGACTTGCAATCTCGATCACACACTTGAGTTTGGAGTTTCCNTGTGTGTTACATACTTACATATAAGATAGTTTTACTTTTTTGTATCGTATTAAAAAATAATTCCCGATTAGACTGCCTTGCAATCTCGATCACGCACTTGAGTTTGGAGTTTCGTTGCAGCCAATAATCACCCTCGACTGTTCAGAAGATGCAATCCTTAACTCTCTAAACAGATGAGCTGTTAATTGTGAGATGTGTAAGCTTATGTTATTCACAAGTACAACCCAATTAGCGTGTGGCCGAACAAGAGGCGAGGTGTAAATCTGCTTTTGACTCTATTCAACACAAGTTTAACACTATCCAAACCAATCACAATCATCACAATATTAATGCACTATTGTGATAACATGTTTTACAGGTTCAGGTAACTTAGAAGTTTTGGGGACTTCACTGTTTTGGGATGATTACCATTGTAAATTTGTACATGCTGCAACTGATCAGTTGTTTGAATGTTAAATTCATAACTAGCATAGAAGTGTAGTACAGTCCGTATACTCTCTCTCAATAAAAAATATGTCCTATTGGAGTAAAGGGTCTCAAAAAAAAAAAGGTAGAGACCCAAAGAAAAACTAGTGTTTTGATTCAAGACCTCACTGAGAAAACAAGAGAATATTTTTTTTTGTTCAATGGTGAGGGGATCGGTTCACGCGCGACTCGACTAATTTTCTCTGTAACTTAGTCAAAGACAAAAAATTAGAATATTTACAAAAGATTCGAATATATTAAGAAAGCAAATAGACATTCGCAAACTTAGCAACAAACACGGATCAAGATTCAAACCCCCAAAACCAAATCTGAAAAATGGCAAAATCAACAATACCCACCTAATAGAAACCCTAGGCAAATAAAAATCTTAGAGAGAAGAAGAGACCTGTTGTGATGATGAACCAAGGAGGTTCAAGGTGCCAAGACTGTGGAAACCAAGCCAAGAAGGATTGCTTCTACTTGCGTTGCAGGACTTGTTGTAAAAGCCGAGAGTTTCAGTGTCACACTCACGTCAAAAGTACTTGGGTTCCTGCGTCTCAAAGGCGTCCAAGGCATCCCACAATTCAACAGCAACAGCTCCAAGAACCAAACCCTAAAAGATACAGAGAGAATCACTCATCAGGTACTAGCTATTACGTATTATACAAATGTTTTATATATGTGTATATATGTATAGTGACCACATGAGATGATGATGCTTGGGTGTCGTGCTCTCGTCGATATCCCCTCCGGTGGTGGTAGAGGCAGACTGGTCCAATCCAAGGGGGCTCCAATACACCTATAGTAAAAGAAGATGAGGATTCATCTAGACCAAACGACCAAATGATCAAAGGAGATTTGGAAAACAAAGTAAAGGAGAGAGTGAGAGAGAGAGAGAANAACTCGTCTCTAGCCCCCAATATCTCATCTAGCTCGGTATTATGTGTTCCAATAATGATGGGGGACAGAGAGGACAGATCGTTTGTTGGCTGGGCAGGTGGCAAAGACGGAAGGGCAGGAGAAGGCTGGTCGAATCCATCGCTAAGTGTGATGAGTTTGCTTCCACCTTCAGTCCTGATCGGCCCTTTTGTCTCCACATGATCGCCAAGGCCGGATCGGACCCGTTCATCCAAGGCTTTGTCATCGACTTCACTGCGGAGGCTGTGCAAGGCGAACAAGTTCGGGCCTACCTCGACGTGGCAGGCGTGAAGGGCGGCGTCCCAACCTTCTTTGAAAGTCTTCTTCTTGGCTTCCTTGAAAGCGGGGACCATTTGGTCTTGAGTGGCCGCCCACACCCTCTGACATTCTGATTACATCCTTTTCTGTTCCCCCACTTTTTCTGCTTTCAAGGAGTCCACTTTAGCAGTGAGAGCGCTGATTACAGACTTGGACTCTTACAACTTGGCTTTGGAGGAGAACACTCGCAGTTCATACTCCTCGGCCTTTTTTATTGTTGCTGTTTCACCCGCTTTGGCCTTTTTCAGCTCGGCATGAATGGTGTCTCACTGACGGATGAGCTTGACGATGTACTTGGTTTGGTCGCCGAGGGTCCTCTCAACCTTCAGGATGTGGTCGTCTTTTGCAGCTACGGCTTGCTCAGCATTTTTGGCCTCTTGCTTATATCCCCAAAAACGTTCAGTGATGGCTCCCACTTGCTAGCTGGCCTGAAAAAGGAGGGATATTAGGGAATGACCAAAAGGGGGCAAGGGCTACTTGGAAAAAGCGTTAAACTTACCACCAGGTTATTTTAAATAGGGTTCATCAAGAGTCGATTGTCCGAGTAACCTTTGTACACGACCATATCGACGTCAAATTGAAGCATCCCCGCGATGACAAAGGCCACTTCGGGGGATTGGAGGATGGAGTCGACTTCCAGAACAGGTCGATCGTTCCTGGTCTCGGCCTGAGCAACCCACTCTTCTGAGACAGACGGGCCCGGGGCCAAGGCATCATGGCGCTATTTTACTCGACGCTCCTCAGATGGTTCAAAATTTTGAGCACGCCTGTCCCTCAGCCGGTCTCCCAAAGCGAGGACTTATTGAGATTGGGGCCTTTGCCTGGTTGGCACGATTGAATCCCTGGGTTGCGTACGTGGCGGCGGCGGTTACCTCCGAGGAGAACTGGGCTGGGGGATGATGGGGCCTATATTGGAAAGCCCAGCCAACTCGGCTAGCCTTGCTCTCCTTGCCGAGGCGGCGGCCTTCATTGTAGCTGCGGTGATAGGTGATGGATTGAACATTTTGGGTGCGAGTGGCTCAGGAACGTGATGTTGACCCTTTCCTTCGGAACCTCCCTCAGATTCTTCCCTTTCCGACGATGAGTGATCTTCCCAAACGGAAGGGTTGAAAAGAGGTGGGATCTGGGAGAATCGACTGTAGGTCGGCGTATAGCCGAGGAGGGTATGCGCTGCTCGTTCAACCGGGTCCGAGGACCAGACCCTTAGCAGATCAGCAAATCGGAGTTGGGACCTCAACGATTAAGCAGCATCTTAACGATATCCTTTTACAAAAACAAAGCAAAAATCAGTACGTCCTCGGAACCAAGAATAGATA